CAGCAGGGGATCATGGGAAGGAAGGTTAACACAGCTTGGTCAGCATTTCTATGGGCAAATATGGGGATCCACTTAGCTCTGAACTCAAGCTGCCTTTCCAAGTTGCCCTTGTCTGGGCTTTCCAGCAAATGGATCAAGTAGGGTACTAACGTGTTAGGAGTCAAGGGACTGTGTGCTTCCCTCTGGGTCTAGGACTCAGTGACTGAGGGCCCAGAGCACCCTGATTTACAGGCCTAGTCTTTCTAGCAAAGGAAAGATGCTTTTCAGAATCTAATTACTAAGCCAAGGATTAACCGTAGAACTGAGTACCACAAGGGGTTAGGGATCCCATGCTTTCTGTCTTCTTCATGTGGAAGTCAATTTTTATGTCGCATGCTCTAAAGCAACCTGGACACAACAGTCTTTAGAAGAATAACTTGTCTTCCGTGTCCTGTCCAAAGTGAACAGAAACAGTGAGGTCGTTAAAAACTGAAGGAACTTCGTCACTGAGAATAGCTTGTGAATTTTCGTGCTGAAGTTCTTTCTAAATTCAGTCTATCATCCCCAAATGAAATTCTCATCAACAATTCATCAGTGAAAAGCTCATGAAGACCAACAAGTCCTTCCTGTGAAGAGTTTTAAGTACAAGTAGGAGTTTTATGTATAAACTTTTCAAAGTTTTAGGGGTTGAAGTAAAAGTAAACAGCTTTATAAGACATGCATAAGATAGCAAGAGAAGCTCATGTGAAAAGCTGTATCTGCCAGCTCCATAGCTCCTCACGTGGTAATAGTGGCACCTTCGTCACTACACCCATATCATTTACCGTGACATGAGTCCCTAACACAAGTCTGTTGGCCACAAGTCAGTTGCCCAGTGCCATGTTCCGTTTTTGCCTTTTCCTCTATGCCTGTCCCCCCTCCCTGCACCCACTGCCACTAGAGCGCCTCAGAGAAGGTTCCCCATCATACAGTCAGAAGGGGTGTCGTCTTGGGATGCTCCTAAAGCTCCAGCCTTGAATGGCCAAAAGGGTGCTAGTTCCTTTCAGAGATGGTGAGAATGTTCTCCTCCCCAGCTTTCATTTTCCACCAGGATCTCAAATCAGCTTGTTTGGGGTCTAGTCTGCCCAAATCTATTATTCCCACTTAGTGGCCCTCATCTCTGGTCTCCTGCCCTTAGTAGACTTCTTAATTCAGTCCAGCAGGCCAGACAGGGAGCTGTTTTCCTTCATTTACTCCTTTTTCCCAGCCTCCCCCAACCACTAATTCTTTTCTCCATACTGTTCTAAGAATAAAAAAAGCCCTTTGCTTATCAATGACTGGAAATAGAAAACAGAGAGGGAGAGAGAGGAAGAGGGAGCGAGACAGAGAGAGAGAGAGAGAGTACGTGTGTGGGTGGATGCGCCTACCCACGCGGTATTCTCACTGGGCTTTCATAAGCTCAAACGAGTCACAGGGCATTATCAGGGAACGTTTCATGGGTGAGGAAGATCTTGTTTGCCTCAGAAAATGAGAAGCGTCGGATATGTGCGCAGGTGGAAAGGACAAAGAAAGGGTACTCACGGCCCAAGGACCGCTGAAGTGTATGTGAGTGGGGCCCGCTGAGTGGAGCAGTGGAAACAGCGCTGGGCAGGAGTCGCGGGAGAGGGAAGCCATGAAATGTAAGGGTGGACATCTGGGGCCAAGCTGAGCTGTGGGAAAACAAGCAGATGACAGTAGATTTGCTATGGTCAACACGGAGCGAGCTCTGGGAGGTATCGGAGCAGGGATTGTGGCAGGATGTATTTATGACTTTCAAGGGAGCTCTGTGCGCAAAGTGGGCTGAATGAGGGCAGAGCATACGAGTGTGTGTAGTCATAGTGGAAAGAGCCTGACGAAGACAGGCGTTGGGAAGGCACACGTGCCTGGAGGCAGACAAGTCAGACAGGAGGAGCGACAGATGTTCTGGAGGGGATCAGGGATCTCTCGTCCTGTGATGTTGCCACTTGACTGGAGTTTCCACTGGTTGTGAGCTACTTTCCAAAATGAGTTTGGACAGGTTTTGTGCCCTTTACTACACCTACACTTTGTCCTGTAAGTGTGCATTCTCATTTCCTTAAGAAGTCTCTCCACGGTCTGCCACCAGAACCCCCAACTTGTCTTATCTGTTTTCTGTTGCAATCTTTGCTTCGAACCTTGGTTTTGACACCTTGCGTGGCCCCCTTGGACTTGAAACCCTGCTTTCTCTTGCTTCCTGGCCCACCATCTTTGGGGCTAATGATGAGAGGGATCTTTCATGCTTCCCCAGAGCATCACTATCCCCAGTCCTGCCTCCTAGGCCTCCTTCCTTCAATTTCTTCTCCCCTAACCTAGAAGATGGGAGATGAGAAATTCTGTAATTGGAAACTCCAAGATTTGTGCATGACGGAGCATAAAGCCGCTCTCCACAGTAGAAGACAATACCCTGTGGTACGATTAACACGATTCCTTGAACGTAGTCTCTTTTTCTAGCAGAACTGGTGAGTGTTCTCCACCTTTGTCACCAAAAGCACATTTATGGGTCCTAGGTGGTGGTAACGTCATCTCTGCTCCTAGTATAGAACCCTAGGAATTTCCGGGACTCATGCTGAACTATCTGGAAGATTACAGTGTCAACCTTTCAACTTAGAACCATAACACTGTGGGCCTGGATGACAACTGAAAACTGGTGTGGGATACAAAGGCAGGTCTGATCCCTAACTGACATGGAGAATGGATATAATAACCATAAGACAGTGGTTCCAGGCAGCACAGCTTTTCTCTGAGCCCGACACAAGGGCACTAGGTGGAAAACGAGCAAGGATCCCAGCGTATTTTAGGTCTGAATCAAGGAACACCCACCTGTTTGGGGGACGGGAGCCTTTCAATATTGTGTAGGTAGCTCAGCTTTGAAACTTCCATCTCTGGCCGTATCTACACTATCCAAAGCCTTCTGGTGCAGAAGCAGACTTCCTGGAGTGTGTTCCAGTAATTCTTCCCTGATCCCAGCAGGAAACAGCCACAGAAGAGCCTTTTTCTTTGAAATGTGGCTGCCCTGCTGGGGTTGAGAATGACCCCGGGAGAAACGGCGACTTCAGTGACTTTAGCTGGTGGACCAGCCTGTAATTTGACAGGTGTAGGGAGGGCTTACGTAAAGGTGGCCTATTGGGGCTGCCGTAACAAAACACCACACATTGGGTGGCTAAAGCAACAGCAATTTGTTTTTTCACAGTTCTGGAGGCTGGAAGTTCAAGATGAGGGTGCTGGCGGGTTCTGAGGGCTCTCTCCTTAGCTTGCGGATGGCTTGCTGCCTCTCCACGTGGGGGACTCTGGGCGTCCAACAATTCTATTCCAAAGACACGAGTCAGACTGGATTGAGCCCATCCTAAACGTCTTATTTTAACGGAATCAGGCCCATTTAGAGGCCCTTGCTCCAAATACAGTCCAGTTCTGAGGTATTGGAGTTAGGGCTCCAACATGTGAATTTAAGGGAATGATTGACCCCATAACAAGTAGTTTGAGAGAATCTTTACTTGAACACCAGTAATCATGAGACCTAACATTTATTGGGGGTCACTATATGCCAGATACTGTTCTCTTTTTTTAAATGTGTATTTATTTTTTGAGAGACAGAGACAGAGTGTGAGCAGGGGAGGGACAGAGAGAGGGAGACACAGAATCTGAAGCAGGCTCCAGGCTCCCAGCTGTCAGCCCAGAGCCCGACGCAGGGCTCGAACTCATGAACTGTGAAATCATGACCTGAGCCGAAGTCACTTAACCGACTGAGCCTCCCAGGCGCCCTGCCAGAAGCTGTTCTAGATATTTGTCATATATTATTCCATCTCCTCTTCCTAATTATAGATTGTGTAATTGTAGATTATACAGATTGTAAATTAATCCTGCCCTCTAGATTGTGTCCTTCTTTTCTGCAAAGCGGTCCCCTTTCTTTGGTGTGATTATGCGATACAGTGATTTTCACACCCTGGTCCGTGATGTGATGCGAGTTGGAATAGTGGGAGAATCTTATGGTGGTGCTTTGGCTGGTAGGCGATCTCTGCAAAGTGCAAGGCTTTCTTTCGCAATTCAGGCATCCACAAGCCAGACTTCCTCCGGGCGATGGGACGGTATGAGCGGGAAGACTGAGGGTCTTGCAGAGGGCCTCTCCTCGACTGCCCCCATCCACAGAGCTGAAATTCTGCCCTCGTTCCAGGCAAACTGAATCATCAGATTAAGACAGGAAGCTATCCTCTCTAGGAGTCAGGCAAGAAAGCATGACAGAGCACTGTCCCCAAGAGGCAGGCAGCCTCCCAGTTGAATCATGGATGTGTGTAAGATACACCAGCACACCCTGGGGAACCCCTGCGGAAACTGCTGGTTGTTTCTTACAAGCTAGACACCTGTATGTACCAAGATTTTTCTCACTTAACCCACCTATCGGCTCTGAAGAAGCTATTCTTATTCCTGTTTACAGATAAGGAAACTGAAATTAGATGCAGCCACAGCCCTGGGCCCCACCCTTCCCCTGTGTGACCTTGGGCTGGATAGTTAACCTCTCTGGGTGGGTCTCACTGGCCTCACCTATAAAGTAAATGCTCACTTTCATATCCCCCTCCAGCCTGACAGCTCCACACAGCTGGTCAGAGGCCTCTCTGCTTATGGCTGACAGAGCTCGGCATTCAAGTGCCACTGGAACGTTGCACGTGCATGCTGTGTGACCACCCCTCTTGGCCTCTGGCTCCCCGCCCTCCTTTCTGCAGACACAACAGTGGAAGTGCTCCTATGGCTCCTCCTTCCCCACTCCACTGCCCAAACTCCCTCCTCACCCGGGATAACCTTCAGAGAACCTGTGGAGTTTGCGTAGGAATAAACAGCCCCCCAGAGTGTGAGTCAATCAGCAACCTGGGCAACCGCCTGGGGCAGCCCTGGGCCACCCTGCCAGCTCAGAGGGAGAGGAGGTGAAGAGTAACCCTGGATAAACTGACACTGGGCTTTCGGTCTCTTTCTCTGACCCTCCAGGAGGCTCTGTCGGTGGTGAGCGACGACCAGTCCCTCTTCGACTCTGCCTACGGAGCGGCGGCCCATCTCCCCAAGGCCGACATGACCGCCTCAGGGAGTCCTGACTATGGCCAGCCCCACAAAATCAACCCCCTCCCGCCGCAGCAGGAATGGATTAATCAGCCGGTGAGGGTCAATGTCAAGCGGGAGTATGACCACATGAATGGATCCAGGTAAGCCCACCAGGCCTGTGCAGCTCCAGGGGTAGGTGTGGCCAGCTGCCAGGTGAGGGGCTGGTGGAGGCTTGAGGCACGCTTGCTCCCCAGGTGTCTGAATCAAGCGGATCTGACCGAAGTGGCTGCTGGTGCTGGGCCAGGGAGCCTGAGTCAGTCCCTAGAAAGCTGAGACAAGAGAAGGCTATAAAACTGAGGGCTGGGAGTAGAGTAGGGCCAGGAAGCCCTACTGGCTTCTAAGCCCACCTGGCTCTCTAAGTCTTAGTACCGCCCTCAACAGCCAGGTCAGAGTCAGACTCACGGCCCTCTGCCGCTACTTGTGGAACACCTATTGTGTGTCAGGCCCAGGTAGAGCCCCTCTTGGGGAAGCCCTAGTGAGAACCTACCCTCCCTGACCTGTTGAAGAAACTTGACCCCTCTGGGTGGGTCTTACTAGAGCAAAGGTGACCAAACCATCCTTACGGGAAAAGTCCAGAAGTGACGACAGAGGTGAGCCCATCTATGGTCTCACTGAGCAAGGGAGGGCACATCACACTTGGAAAGTGTATTTGAACTTGGTGGTGCCCAGGGCAGTAAGACTGTTCTTGTGGAAATGCAGGGAAGAGAGCCCAAGGAGAGAAGAATCAGAGGGTCAAGGGAGGGCATGCTGGGAGGACAGGTAGCCCAGACTTCATTCCCACCTCTGCCCTTGGACAAGCTATCTAGCTGTCTGATCACCAGCTGCCTCCTTCCTAGAACAGGACTAGAGGATCTGCTTCTTCATAGGCATGTCCCGATGGTTAAGTCTGATGCTGCGGAGGAAGGACCCAAGACAGTGCTGGGGACTCAGAAAGTGCTCCACAGTGATAGCAATCCTCATGAGCAAAAAAAGAGAGAAAATATTAGTCTCATTCATGAACTATCGGGCAAGTCAATGGGCCTATAGCACAAGGGGATAAAAATGAAAATTAATGAAGGGCCCTGAATGGCAGGCTAAGAAAATATGGAATTTATTCTGTATGCAGACACTGACTTTAAGCGTAGACTTGACATTTGACGTCTTCAGAGTTTCATTTACAGAACTGAGGGTCTTTGTATACAGCGGTGAGGAAGGGAGCCTCAGAAAGATAAGAAGGTAGTGAAATATCTCAGGTAAGAGATTACCAAGTTCTGAATTTGAGCGACTTTAATGATTAGGGAAATAAAAAGAAGTACATGCATGAAGGACATGTCAAAGGGATAATTAGCAGGGTTCAGATGGACAAACATTGAAGTCTCTGGGGGTTGGAGGGTATATGAGAGGAAAGAACAAAAAATGACTGGAGCTTGGATGATTGTAGGAAGGATGGTGATGTTATCCAGGGGACATAGGAAAGGAAATGCTTTGAGAAGAGATGTCAGTGTTCCCTCTGAGATTCCTGGGAGCAATCAGTAGAACATCCAGCTAAAAAATGTCTACTAGGCCTTGGAAACTAAAGCTCAGATAATATTTGGGGGCTGGAATGTAGGTTTGGGCATCATCTCTAGAGAGTTTTCACTAGAAGCGGATGAGGTCGGTAAAGAAACAAGTCCACAGAAGGAGAGAGAAGGGGGCGAGTGTGCAGCTGGGAAGGAGACCTCCCCCAGACAATCCCTGGTCTCCGACTCGCATGTGGGAACCCCTAGCCCTTCCACATTCCAATCCCAGTAACCAGAACCAGTCACCGGAATCACAGCCGCCTTCCCAGAGTCTAGCCTTCTAGGAAGGCCCAGAGGTTCTGAGCCAGGAGTCCCTCACATGAGCATCTCTCCACACAGATAATAAGGATAGTGAGCCCGTCATAGTGGACGGAGGGTATCGTCTGTTAAATATTTTTCCATATTATCTTATGGTTTGCTTCCCACCATGATCCCGTGAGGTAGATGTCGCCATTACATTTTGACATTTGAAGGCAAATTGGGCTTTGGGGGTGGGGAGTGGTAGACGCCTTGTCTGAGGACTTAGAGGAGGCAAATCTGGCACCAGAGCTGGGCTTTTCTGATTCCTGGCCTGTGGGCCACCTCTCTGCTCCCTCCCTCCCTGTACATTGTGCCTTTGGGCTCCTGGTCCAATTTCTGCCGGCACTCAGCCTGGCAGCAAGGAAGGCAATTCAGCAATACCTCCCAAACTGGCCCAACCACAGGACCTTCCTGATGCTTATTGAAAATCCAGATTCCACCCTTGGAGAGTCTTTGGTCTGTTGTAGCCTGAATCCCAACCACTGCTCACCTCTGTTGCCCCGCCCCAACCCAGATAGGCAGCACCTGTCCTTCTAGGCTGCCTCAGTTGCCCCCTGTTGTCCTCGCTTCTGCTTGCTTTCCTAAAGTCTGTTCTTCAGACTCACCCTTTCAGAATATTTATTTTTTTAATGTTTATTCATTTTTTAGAGCGGGGGGGAGAGATAGAGGATCTGAAGCAGGCTCTCTGCTGTCGAACCCACGAACGTGAGATCATGACCTGGGCAGATGTCGGTCACTTAACCAACTGAGCCATCCAGACACCCCATCCTTTCAGAATACTTAACTCTCTTGCTCAAAATTCTTTACTGCCTGTGACAGAACCCCAAGTCTTCTACCTGGCCCCCATTTCTATGAAACTCATTTTCTCCTTCCTGTCTCCCTCCTTCTTTCCGCACCAGCCACACAAGACTCTGGACCCCAAGCACTCTCCTGCCCCAGAGTCTCATGCCTGTATTCCTTCTTTTTGGAGCATTCCTACTCCATCAAGTCATAGGACTCTCTCTCCCACTTGTTTCAGGTCTCTGTGCCTGAATGTCACCTTTCAGCAGACCTCCCTCACCGCCTGCTCTAAGACAGCACCCGTCACTCTTTGCCTTGCTTTGATTCTTCTTAGCTCTTCCTGGCTCGTATCACATCCCTCACCAAAATGCAGGCAGGGCCTCGTTTTGTTTACTGAGCAATGCCTGTCACCTGATCCGTGCTCCAGAAAGAGTTGTTAAATGAATGAGTGAGTGAATGCGTGGCTGACGAGACTCAATGGTGAAGATACTTCTTCAAAGCCATATGGGTCATGGTGTACAAGCCAGGACAGAAACCAAGGTCTGCCCACTTTGCCTCGGCTAGAGCCTGCATCTGTGCTCAGGGGGAGGCCACACTGTCGAGCTGACCTCTCACTCCCCCGAAGGGCACTCCGACCTATTAATCTGGGGCAAGGAAATCGAGTTTCAGGACCCGCTTGCCAGCCATTCCTGGCTGCAGTCACACCAGAAGCCAGCTGGAGGAGAGCTGTGTGAACACCTCTAAAGAACAGACGTGGTATTTACGTGGCTCTGGTCGCACAAACAGCCCCTGCTTTTGATTTGCCCGTCCTGACCCCGACCGTCCGCAGGTGATCGAGTAGGTTCAGAAAGACGGATGGAGTCTCACTCACCCTGGGGGAACAAAGAAGATACCGTGGGCTCTCGGAGCCACGCAGGCTAGGGACGGCCATTGCCAGCACCTCGTAAATATTCTCCAGGAGCCCACATGTAAGCTGGCCTGGTGGACAGCAGGGAGCAGGGGTTTTCAGAAAAACGTCTTTGCTGAGGATAGATTCTACTATTTGATCATGCAAAGAAGAAATGACACGATGAGATACATGCCAGGCGATTTAAATCTCTCGTCCTCAACCCTGTGTGTTGACCCCATTTGGGGTCTCTTGGCTCATGGACCAGATTTGTGGCGTCCAAGACAGTAGCCACTAGCCGCATGCTGCTTCTGAGCCCTTGAAGTGTGGCTAATCCAAAACTGACATGTGCTCGAGATCTAAAATGCACACCAGACTTCACAGACTTAGTGGGGGGGGGGGGGGGGG